CAGCCTTCAAATGATATCTTTGCAAAACCAGTGGGTTTGGGGTTTTGTTAACAATGCAACAGTTCCAATTAAGGAATCTCATTAAGTGTGTTCCAGAAAGAAAATAGCACAACCTGGTATAACAAAATAAAGTATATCGCAATTCATTTTCAGTTGAAGAAACACCCTGGCTAGATAATATAATTGCCATAACTTATAACAAAAGGGGAATGGAAGAATTCCTCTGTAAGGTTCACTTGTGGCTGGAAGAGACAGTTGTAATTAAAACCTCCTTTGCGCCTGTATATTGGCTGAAACTTTGATGCAATCTCAGAGTAATTAAGTAATATTTCCCATGGCTTTTGTGTCAGTGGCATACAAATGATGTACAGATCATTTACTGGGCATAAAATTCTAAATCTATCATAGACTGCAGCTCTCGTATCAGATTTATTGCCAGATAAAATCTTCGGCGTTTGTTTTCATCCTGAGGATTCTTTCGTTCTATTTTTCTCTGCCTAACCGAAAACGCAGAAGGACTAATAATTTAGAGGTACGTCCAGAGCAGAGATGGGTCCGGTTTGGCTGAATAGGTAGTAACTCTGACTGTACCGGTTCTATCCTCAGCGACACCATCTTGATTTTCTGTTCTGCACATGCGCAGAACAATCTTCATTGAAAAAATGTCATGTTTATTTCTTCTTTAATGTTGTGCGCATGCGCAGACCGTTTTAAATGCAAATGCGCATGCGCACGCGAGCGAAGCTGGCGTGCACAGACATAGTTTTTTGGGTGCTGAACCCGTAGTAATGGCGGCAGGAACCCACCCCTGGTCCAGAAGTGGCAGAGGTGGGAGGCTCTGCCCACCCACCCAGACGTCATCACGGATGCTCTGCGCATGCACAGAAGTGCCACACGCACGCTCCTGATTCAGAACCGGTAGCAAAGTTAAGAGAAAACCATTACTGGTTATGTCCTCTTGTATAGTTGAACAGCCCGGGAAAAGCTGCTTTATTTCTAGTGTCATTAAGAGTTGTGTGTCATGGATATGTGGAGGTGGAGTTTTTCATGCCAGAAGCTAAGAAGTGGGGTGAGGTCTATATTGATTCCATGTTTGGTCAAGAGAGTCATCAAAACAACTTCAATGGAAGGCTCCATACAGCATAATCCACGTGGATTACTTACCTTCCACAGATAAGAAACACAACCTGGGTTGTGTTGAACTACAGTGGCAGTAGCACTTGACATGACACAGGTGAGACCATGTTTGGAATACTGCATCCAATTCTGGCCACCACGACACACACACACACACACACATTGAGACTCTAGAACTGTAATGGCAAACCTATGGCAGAGGTTGCCAGAGGTGGCATGCAGAAGTACCATTTATTCCCATCCCAAATACCATGCCCCCACCTCCCCATTTCTATGGCAGCCGATAGCAAGTAAGCGAAGCAGAGGCTGACATCCCCTCCCAGAGGAAATAAAAGAGGAGTGAAAGGGGAGGGGAATTTGCAGGAGACAATTAGTCTCCTACAATTAGGAGTAAAAGATGGAAGATCATGAAAGAGAGATGAAATCCAGAACTAAGGACAACTTTCCTGAAAGTGAGAACAATGAATTGGCGAAACGGTATATTTCTGGAAGTGGTTGGTGCTCTGTCACTGGAGTTTTTAAAGAAAAGAATGGACAGTCATTTGTCTAAAATGGGATAAGGTCTCCTGCTTCAGCAGGGTTTGGCTTAAAAGACCTCCAAAGTCCCTTCCAACTCCCTTAGGTGTCATGTGGGGTGCATCTCCAAAAGGCATCATCATGTTGGTATGCAG